TACATATAGCTTCAGCATGGGCCTTTAACCGCAATTGAACAATTCTCCTGATTATCGGTCGCTGTCCACGCAACAATATACTTGGAATAATAGATACTCAACATGATGGTCTTCACATATACTATATAGGTGTACGGACATTTAATCCCACGACAATTAATCCCACGACAGTTAATGCCTGACACATAATCCCGCAACAGATAGTCCCGCTGACACATTATATGCTCACAGATAGGCTAAGATCACAAACAATTAACACCAGCAGTAATCCATCAAATAAATAATAAGCTTATACAATAGTATGGTCGCATGAATAATTTTGGTCTTTCGAGAACTAGCAGATTGGCTGAATTGGCTGAAATTAAGAAATTAAGAAAGCCACCATAACTCCCACTATATAAGTCAGAGAGTTTCTTGGCTAACTCACTTGGAATAGTATTAATTGAATAATAATATTAATATTATTAGTAATATCAGTGTAGAGTCTACAAAAAAATAATAGCCTATGGCTGATAAGATCGCTTTTGGTTCAACATCGAAAGGCAAGCAGTCTTTGCTACACAAGCAATATGAATTTGTCAAACATAGGAAGTGTACGAATGGGACAATTCATTGGCGTTGCAAACTCCACCAGAAAACCAGATGCCGTGCACGTATTGCTAACCAAGAACGATGAAATTATACGCGGTTGCGATGCTGAACACAATCACGACGGAAACAAGGAGTCTATCTTAGCGATGCAGGCTGTCGCTGATATGAAAAACAAGATTGGAGAAATTTCGGCAACAACTAAAGCTGTCATTGGAGAAGTAAGTACGCATCTTGATAGTTGCGTACTTATGGCCTTACTAAAGAAAACATCCCTGAAGGGAACGTTACAAAAAAGAAAGCGTCAGAAATTGATGTCTGCTCCGGATTCGATACCTATACCACCGCCTACGAAAGATATGACTTTCTGCATTCCTCAACAGTTCCAACATATGATTTTGCATGATTCCGGGTCTGGAAACGAAAGGTTCCTTATTCTCGGTCATAACGAACTGTTGGATGGATTAGCCAGAGCGAAATTATGGTTAGCAGATGGAACATTCAAGGTAGTACCTACGATTTTTTTTCAGTTGTACACCATACATTTCGAACTCGTGCCTGGAATCTCCCCGGTCGCCCTTTACTGCCTCTTGCAAAGCAAAACAAGTGCCATATATGATCGTATGTTTGAAGCAGTAAAAGAATTGGTCCCTGCAGCAGAACCTGATCAAATACTCCTTGATTTTGAGAGTGCAGCAATAAGTGCCTTTCGAAGCGCCTATCCAAGTGCAAACGTTATGGGTTGCTATTTCCACCTGACACAAAGCGTTATACGCAAAGTTAACGACAGCGGCATGAAAGTTGATTACGAGTCTAATGACAGCTTACGCACGGCCGTTCGCTGTTTACCTGCTTTGGCGATGGTTCCAGCTGCAGATGTCGTAGACGCTTTTCTCATATTAGCCGATAGCATGCCCGATCATGAAAAGATGCCTGAACTCTTAGCATTTTTTGAACATACATATATTCGTGATAGACGGAGACCTGGACGTGCAGAACAATGCGGGCCGGCAATCTATCCAATCAAAACATGGAATCACTTTGAAACGGCGTCAGGAGGTGTTGCCAGAACAACAAACGCTGTGGAAGGTTGGCACTTCGTACTACAAGCTCTTTTTCAGTGCCATCAACCCACATTATGGACTTTTTTAAGGGAATCGAGAGAGACATTCAGATGCAAAGAACGTCTTTTCTTCAGGGAATCGCAGGTTCACAGCCGTCTGTCCCCAAGAGATACCAGACGCAGAAGACGCGTGTCAAAAATGCTGTCGAACGTTACTCTTCGAGCGAAGTTCTTGTCTATCTGCGTGCCATTATTTACCTGTCACACATTTAACTTTTAGTTCTCTATTTCACTTTACATTTAAATTTCGTACTTCTGATTACCTTTTATTAAATTGTGTTAAATATATTTATTTTATATTTCTTATTTTACATGTCCATATGTGAGCATATAACGTATAAGCCTATTATTTATTTGATGGATTACTGTTGGTGTTAATTGTTTGTGATCTTAGTCTATCTATGAGTATACAATGTGTCAGCGGGACTATCTGTCGCGGGATTAAGTGTCAGGCATTAACTGTCGCGGAATTAATTGTCGTGGGATTAAATGTCACTAAACCAATATATATATATATATATATATATATATATATATATATATATATATATATATATATATATATATATATATATATATATATATATATATTGGGAGAGCGGACACGGGAGACAGATAGTGGGTTGGGTGAAGATTCTCGATTTTATGCAGCATATTGTTTTGCATGTAATTCTACAACCAAACAATCACACTTTTTTTTAAATGCTTCCATTTTCGATCTTGAATTTTTTGCTTTCTGTTTTAATCTCGCAGATCAACTTTTGCCATTGTATGTCATTGTACGTTGATAATTAGAGACTAGTCTCTTTCTAAATGTTCAACTGGGTCCCTTTCTTGCATTTCTATCTTATGTTATCATGATCTAGAATCCTTAGTTTACTGATTTCACTTCTGTTTTTGGCTGCATCACTAAGATTGTAAATCTCTAAAGTGCATACATATTTTCGTTTGTATCATTTTGGCATTCCCAGTTTGCTGAACTTTCCGCCAGTAATTTTGCTTCGTTTGTCTTTCAATTTTCTACTACAAAGCCATCCATTAAATCATCGACATTTTGTATTTTCTCATTTTTGTTTCCTCCGGTTGAAGAAGTCTTTTTGCAAATTCTGATTCTCTTGCTCTCATTGTTTCTGAAATACAATCAGTGTTCCATTTTCTTACTGTCTCTTAACATCCTAAGATTGCCAGTCAAATATTGTATACTATGCTTATTGTTTAGTCCATATTCATGGCATTATGATACCGTCATGCAATAAAATACCCAATTTTGCTTTTAATTCTTCTCTTCTGCATCTCTTTCAACACCTTGTAAAAATAGTCATCAGGTACGGGCATTACTACCTGTATAGATATTTTTACTATATGGGAGATTGCTAAACGGTTAATTACCAATGTAGTACCATCTGTGAAAAATGAAACTTGATTTCATTGCAACCAGTCCTTCCCTAAGCGAACGCTGTCGTTGGATAAAGGTTAAAGAAGCAAAGCTAAAACGTGTTTAGTAAATATATACTGCACGTTAGATACATTGGTCATATGGCGTTTTAAAGCACATTTTCGAGTAGAGGCGAGGACATGGGCAACAACAATAAATTATACAAACTAATGCTTACTCACCCGTTCATTTAATTCGTTAATATTTATGTTTAACTTTATTTTTACAATATCAAACTTTTTAAAAGAAAAGATGTGCTTAGAAGTGGACAGCATGCATGACAGAGTACATCCTGGGTGCTAAATTCCATACAATGAATTCACTCCTGCATTTTATAGTGGACGTCTCTTGTCTAATTTTCTGCGATTGCAGCCATTAATCATATGACGTTTCATACGTTCAGTGTTATTCATGAGTTCACTTGCCCTAACAATGCGAGCTGATCTATGAAAAGATCTAATATTAGCAGTTTTATCTTGAGAAATATTTGTGAGGGTGTATTATTAGGTCTGAGTATTATTATATAATACCACAAAACAATGTCCCTTATCGTAGCGTATCCTACATAGAGAGACATTGACAGTGGTTCCAGATACAGCACCCTTTATTTCCAATATAATGAACATCTCAGGTCTTTCTATGTTTCGAAAAATATCTTATGTCATGGAATCATATAAATCCATTTATTTAAAAAAACATAAGTACTCGGGTTTCGTTTTTTGTATACAACGATACCCTATGGTGATTTGTGTATGTTGTACATTATTTCGAATCAGTAAGTTCGGTTGATACTCTACCGCACGTGCGAAGTGCTTTCAATAGGAATAACTGAATAATTCTAGCCGACAGCCGATATATACTGCATCGTGTATGTATAAATGCCACCCCGTTAAGGCGATATCTTCACATTACGGGACGTCTTGTCATTAAGCAATAAACTTAATGACTTGCACATTTTCAGCTGTAGAGGTATGCAAGTTATTTATTAATTTCGTACGTATATTATTTCTTATGTTATTGTAAGATATCGCTATTGTAATGCCAGTTTCATTTTTGTATATATTCTAGGTTTCCTCGGTTTGCGAGATATAATGCAAATATTTTTTATTTGTGTTTGTGACCTAGCAAGAACTTTATATTAGCAATATAAAGTTGCATTATTAAGAAACTTTTAGTTCCATAAGATTCTTATCAGACACTGATAGATTCACTTCTGAGTCTGTTTATCGTCCGGTAAAATTGTGCCAATAACGTAATTTGTATAGCTTACCGTACATAACGTATTTACGTTTTATCGTATATGCCCGTGTCATGAATAGTACACAATGTTAGATTTTATTTTCAGTTCATTGGAGTAGACGGGAAACCAGTTGTAGAGCTAAACATTTAAGTTGACCATGGCAGCTATAAAGCTGCACCATAGCAACCATATAGTTGAGTGAAAATTGGCGTTGTTGACCGAATTGGTGGGCGCTGATAGCTAGATTGACCAAGGAATTAAATGGTAGTCAGTGACTACCCGAAATGCTGTCTGCTTCATTGACCAGTGTGACTGGTAACCAAGAGTGCTAATGATGGTGTGTTTTGTGTTACTCCATACATGCAATCTTTTAGCCATGAGCAAATTTTGCGGTTTGTTTTATATCTATTGTTTTTGGACTGTAAAGGTATTGTGTATATTTGCCTCTTCTGTTTCCATCATTATATTATTTGAGCATCTTTCTTTTTTATTGTGAATTTTGTCTAAATCAAAATCCTTTGTCATATTACTGTGTAGGATCATTTATTTGTATTTATATTAGTTGTCTTATTAAGTTCTTGCGGATTATGTTAATTTATCCAATATTTGGAACCTCTCTGGTGGCTTAGTGGTTAGAGCGTCCGCCTTGAATACGGGAGGTCGTGGGTTATATCCCCGGTCGAGTTATACCAAAGACTTACAAAAATGGTACTAACATCCACCTCGCTTGACGCTCAGCATTAAGAGGTTAGTGTTAGGACTGGTAGGCCTGGTGTCAGTATAATGTGACTGGGTGGGAGTACATCGTGCTTCATGCCTGTGGCATGATGCCCCAGTGCTAGATAAAACTAAACTCCACCACTGTAGACATCATAGAGATATGACTGAAAAAATTGTTAAATCTCCGTTAAAGATCACAATCGCATCACATCACATCATCAATATTTGGATCTTATACACGCACGTATTAATCATAATTCTGTTATCATTCAAATCATGCATCAATAAACATTGTGTTTGTAACTCCATCAAAAGTGTTCTGTTATAAATCCGAAATCTAACCCGGTTATCTTGTTACATCATGGAATCTTGGACAAGACATAATTTGTCCTCCATTACCTATATAGTTCTTCACATTATTTTTGAATCATCGGAAAGACAATCGCCATGTTGCACATTCTACGCAAACAATTGCGAAAGTCAGTTATAAAATATCAATATAACACAAAGGCAGTAGTTTCATTACCAAAAGAGATGGGATTTTTTCTTCAGAATTAGTCTGCTTCACTGTTCTTAGCATGTCTTAATAGGTCTGAATGCGGTCTTGCCTTAGCTGGCTTGTATCTGGTTCTGATCATGCCTTAATCAGTTGGTTTATGCTCATAGGATATCTTGTTATGTCCCATTATGATCTTGCATGTTGTTCTTGCCGTGAATTTGTATGCCAGGTTAAAATGTTGCCTTAGAAAGGCTCTAGGTCATGGGGGCCGTGTATTTTAGGTGTGATTATGATCTGGTCATAGTCAGCCTGTATCTTGTTCTTTCCATGGCTTTGGTAAGTCGGAAAGCGATCTTGGTTGGTTTTGTTTTTATTTCTTTGTGAATATTATTTACATTTTATTTCAATTACCGTCTTTTTCTTCTTTTCTTTCTTACAAGCTACACGTGATTTTTAAAAAGCTAAATATATGTTTTTATTCAAACACCACAAAAGGTTTACAACTATTTATATAATATTTCAATACTTTGGTTGAAAATAACTTTTTTGGAAAATTGTTTAAATATGTTTCACATTATGTTGGTCATGTTTCGTCGCACACAAAGCTGAATACTGAGTACATTTATATAACTGAATTTTGGTGTGTATGATTATTTCCAGACTATTATTTATATCAAATTCAGAAGAAAATAGCAAAATACAAGGAAGATAGACAATTCATTGCAACTAGTACTGTACAGCGCCTTTCAATAAATGTTGCCGTAAAGTAAAAGAAATGTAGTTCAGTCATCGACCAGAATAACTGAATGAATGGATTTCATTTTGATACATTTACTCCAGGTTCCAAGAGTCTCAAAAGTAAATTTATAAGGAAATTAACCATATCCCATAAGATTCTGATAATACACAAAACTATCCCGTAAGCTAAAGTAAAACACAGGTTTTAAAAAGCAAATAACTTAAATGCCTTTGAAATATAGCTCAAACTAAATTAGTTCCAGCAAATGCATGAACGAAATGAAAATCTGTGGTAGGTTACCATCTGGTAACGGTGTGCAGCAATAATGATGTTCATGAATCACGTGCAATTCATCGTTAGTATTATATGAAATAAAACGAAAAATGTAGGTTGACTCATTTTCTGAGGATTATGACGGTATTCAGATCCCATGAGGTGATTGCGTATGCTTTGTCAGCATTTCCCACGGATACATTACATTGGCATTAAAGTGGCATGATCCCACCATGAACATTTGGGAAAATTATTTCAATATCATTTTCGTCTGTTTTCAATTAGCTTCTAATTTTGTCGGCGAATATAGTCTTGATATTTTGTTTCTATTTCACCATGCGTGACAAATTATTTAAGAATATATCTGCAGGGTCTTCGTTTTTGTAAGCACTGTACATGAGCCTTATTGATATATAGTCATCTGTTTAGCGAGATTAATTTAAACTAAAATTAAAACTTTGTCATTATGAATGACTCAATCTCCTTAAAGACATCGCTGATCATATCATAAATGATAATAATATTAGGTTAAGTGATTTCACGTGTGCGTTTTATCTGTATATCCATGACGTAGCTACCATTGAGATGATAAAAAACTGAATTTATTGATTATGCTCGATAATACGTGCCGTTTGTTTTCATATAATACACGCGCATTCCATGGTTTCTTCTAGCTGCTCAGTAGAACAGCTATTTTATATCCTTTGTGCACGTGGACAATGTACATTTTGCAAATCACCTTTGGCATTTCTCTTAACTAGTAAGTTTGATACTGTTTCTGAAAATATGTGATATATACAAAAATGTAATACCCTTACGTTTTTCTTTAGGTGAAAATTTACACTCTCCGTTTATATTGGAAGAAAACAAATCGATTGCAATTAATATTCCATCTTAAATATGACCATAGAAATTTCAGAGTCTCTGAAACGAAAATCATATTGAATGAGAGCAGTGAATCACTTTTGTAATAGACAATCTCTGATGAATTCTACTGACAGAATGAAGAACAGGCTACATACAATTTTGAGAAATATTATAGGATCTTTTAACGTTTCCATTAGCTAATTTAAATTAATGTCAGTACTTGCTGTTCGATTTTCAGAAATGGGGAACACGCATACTCTTTAATCCTTAAACTAATACGGACAGAAAATTTCATGTCAGCAAAACAGGTCATATATTTCAACATCATGTCAACAAAACAGTTCATATATTTAAAGGATTTTATATGCGTTTTCTTTACATTTATTGTTTATACATTTTACAGAATTTCGGAATCTTTACATTTTAGATTCTATATTGTCTTACTTCCTGCTTACTTTTATTCAGAAGGTATTATCTTCCTCAATAAAGCATCTTTAAGGTTCAACACTTCACGAAATGTCAAAAACTAGATTATCTTTCTAAATTTGTGTGCATGCCATTTATACATTTTTCGAACTTCGCCTTCGCCTTTTATTTTTCTAATGTACTTTTAATGAGTGGGCGATGCTTAACATCCATAATTACCGTTTTATAAAACACAATTAGCTTACGATTTATTTCCAAACCGTTCGCATTGCTATTCTGAAAAAGGTTGAACATTAATTATATGATCGAGACAGTTGAAACTAAGGTCGACCTAAACTCATGACATCGAAAACGACCATCGCATTACTAACTGGTTTGGTTTTTGTGAGCACGTGAATGTTTTGTCAAATCAATTTATGTGCTGAACTGTCTGAGCACACTTGACAGAAGATAACACTTGGGTTTGTTTAATCAATAAAGAACGTGCTGAAGTTTTGTGATTTCTTCTGCTCGAGCGTCTACCCTGCCTTTGCAAGTCTCTTCCATTCGAAGTCTGTAGCCGCAGTATGGACAAACGCTAGAACAAGTGATCACGTATGCGACTATCCATGGCTCAGGGTCAGTGTTAAAGTGCATAAGAGATGACTTGAATAAATAATTGAAGCGTTTCCGCTAAACATCTTGAAATCGCTTTTCTTCCTTATGATAGTCACGTATGCTCTTTTGTAGTCGCTCGTCTGACATTATGTTGACGTTGCCTACATATTGCAACTGTGATTTCATCCGCAGAATGTAAATGATTGGACTGCCTACCCGTATGAGAATCGTATTGCCTGGCACCTAAGCCTCTCTATCCTATCATTGTTATTCCATCAGGTAGCCTATGTGGAAATCATATATCGTCTTGGATATGCGTCTTGTGCCAATGATTTTTTCTTAGCAATGGGTTTTTACACTGTCTAGGTTTCGCAAGCGTACAGTATGGTAGCCAACACAATGTCTTTGTAGACCTTGAGCTTATATGTAGTCTGATTCGTCTGCGCTGCTCCCACTCATGTGCCTGTAATCTTACATATAACACACTTGCATTAGTAATTATGGTACTTGTTTCAACATCGATATGGATTGCATGTGCTGCCGACATATGTAAACTTGTCCACTACCAAAAGGGTTTGATAATTTACCATGATAGTAGGTTCCACATACTTCTTTCCTGGTGCATCGCCTGTCATCTCTATGTTGAATGTAAGACCAAAATTGTCACAAGCTGAGGCGAAATGGTCCCTACTGTTTTAGATTAGATTCAGATTTTGGCATTAGGGACTGTTCGTCAGCAACTAGGAACTCACAGGCAGTCATTTCCTGTAACGTTGTCTTCGCCTGTAGTTTCCTGTTTCACGAGCTTGCTACCAGTGCAGTATCTAATGCGATTCCAGTGTCATAGTCACAGAAGGCATCAGTAAGCATGGCAAAGAAGTTCATGCTGACGAAGTATAAGCCAACACATAGTCATGCCTGCATCCATTGGTGACCGTAAATGGTTTAGATGACTGTTCATCGTCCACGACACAAGTGATCATGCCATAATCTGCCGAACCATCACGATGACGTTCTCTACAGCTAACAGCGATTCAATCTTTTGCCAAGTGGTTGAATGCAGTGGTCAGGTTGGAATTCTGTTCCTGGTATTTCTTCTTGAGTTGACGAGCTGCAACAGTATGCTGTCATTTCCTGATTCGACATTAGCTCTCCTGCAAGAGCCTACATCGATGTGATGCACAGGATGATTCTATAGAATTCTAGTAAGGAATTTGCTAGCTATTTGATTGCAAAATGATGTTTCGATGGTTGTCGCAATACTATATGATGCCTTTCTTCTTTAACAACTGGACAATGCCTGCCTACCTGTATATCTGGTGCATAGTTCCTGAGCGCAACTTGAGTGGAATAGTTCAGTAAGTTTGAGTGCAACATGCGAGCCTCAGGCTTTGTAAACCTATGCCGGTATGGCATCTTCTCCAGATGGTTTGCCTCTTGACAGCAGGTATAATGCTTTGACATGTTAAGTCAGCATTGGAAGACCAGCAAGTATTATTTTGATTTCCACATGTGACAGTCAATCAGTTGCCTCCTCGCTGACAGATAAATACTGATTAAGGTTGAT